AAAAAAAAAACTATATGTATGTATGTATGTATAAAAACATAATTATATGTACATATATTTATTTATACATATACATATATATGTTAAAATAATACTCATAGCATCGGATGATCAGTCAAATCCTCCATTAGAGAAACAATTTTTTTTTGTAAAATTTGCAAATAATGTGTTTTCGAAACGAAAACATATTCTCTGTAATTGGACATTTGCCATTTTGCGTTTTTTATCATCTTTTTTTTGATGGTCCTTTTGTAAACCAAAAAAAAAAAAAAAAATTAACAGGAACAACAGTGAAAACTGGCGTAATTGTCACTACTGTTCCTGTTAATGTCGTCATATACTTTAACCTAACTGTACTAATACTGTTGCTTATCCGAATGTTCTGAAATTTTAAACTGACAATTTGTGGATGACTGTTGTTGGAGGGAAACGGATAGGGAAGAGAAGATTGTAATAATTTGACGCGAAGATGTTTCATCAAACAGTCTTGAAATACGATAGTTATTTTACACTTTATCATCACTTTTTCTTGTTTTAGTTTACTTTAAGCTCTTTCTTTATTCATTGCAGCACCAAATTAGGTGAAGCACATAACATACAGTAAAAGTTTTTAAGTTTTTTTTTTTTTTTTTCAAGCGCATAATCTCAAAATGCTTTTGTCGGCAACAACTCACGGTCATATGTGGACAGATTCAGTAAAAAAATTCTTTGAATGCCTGGTCTTGTTTGTTCGTCACCTTCGTTTAAAGCAGTAGATTTTTTTAAGAACTCTTCCTCTGTTTTCATTGATTCATTTTTAGTTTGGAGCAAAGGAATATTTGTACATTTGAAACAAAGAGAGCGCTTATATGCATCATCAGTTCTTTTTTCGATTCTTTCTGTACATATAAAATTTGGCTGCAAAAAAAAATATAAAAAAAGTATCTTGGAACGGAAAAAGTGCTTTTTTATAAATAAATATGTTTCTGTTTATGAGCTATCCAACAATTACATCTAATTAGCTGTTTATTGCAACGATACTTCTAACTGCTGACTTGAAATTGCGAAGCCTGAAGCTAATGAGAGGACTAATGATTTTGGATATAGAGGAACTTTTCAAAATACAAAATGGACTTTCATATTAGATTGGGAAGAGCTGCCTTATAAGGAGTGTTAATTGAGTTTATTAAGGACTGCGAAATTATAATTGGATTTACATAGCGTTGAGGTTTGAAGAGCTTCAAATATGGATGCACTTAGAATTTTATCACTAAAATTTTGAGCTTGCAATGACATTATATGGTTTTTTGACGTTTTTTAAATTTTAAAGCAAACTGAAATGGCACCAAAAGATTGCGGCTTTGTTTTTGGGTAACATCGACAAACGAAATTTGGAGGGATAATCATACTTTGCGAGTAAAACCTGAAATAAGCCTTCGCTTGCAAAGAACTGTGGACATAGAACGTCTAGATTTGTAAAGTGGGTAGCTGCATACAACTAGCTAAAGAAAATATTAATTTAAAAGAAGCATATGGCCTGAAATGAAACTAAAAAACTATGATTTTTTCAGTTTGAATAGAAAAAAGAAGTTACAAATGTGGGAATGATAAAATTTTTGTGAGATGCTAGATAGAACAATCTCATCTTGGATTCCACAGTTAATCTATAAAGAATTATGCAGAAGACTGAGATTTAGATGAGGAAGTTCAAATAAAGAAAAGAAAATTTTAGTAAAGAAAAAATTGATTAAAAAAATTCCTTGCACTTGACTATAGAAATTTAAAAGTTATAAAACCCATCTGTCTTTGTTCTGTGATTACAAAATTTAAAGTGCAAATACAGCTGCTTTCAGATTAATACAAGGAAGTGTACTGTGCAGCTTTTTAAGCGGCCAAATATTTTTTTTACACAACAGATTTGATGGTTTCAACGGCTCTGCATATTTTTGGAAAACCATACCTTCTAGGTTCAGAATGATATGGGAGGAAAAATGGTCTTCAATTCAGAAAAAAAAAAATTTTTTTTTAATTTTTTTTTTTTTTTAATAGAAAAAATAACTTCTCTACAGACAGATTTTTGTAAAATCGAGAATTCCATCTGTTGAAGTGAGTCCAAATGTGCGGAAGCAAAACAGTTCTCTTTTGTTAATACCGCCCTCTGCAAATGGCTGTTGTTGTCTGACAGACTGCTGTCGATGACAGACTTTTCTGTTGATACGATTACAGGAAAAATTTGTTCTTCCACCTGAACTCACTGTAACGAATGTGAATGTCGATCCCAAAAACTTTCTGCTCGAAAAGTTCATTTATTGTGTGCAGTAAAAAACCGTGAACTGGAAAAGCAGTTTCACTTTGCTAATCTGATTTTTGTACCTATTAGTCCACCAATTTTTTCAAGCACGAATTTTGTATAGAATGATTCATGCGTTGTTTGTAAATTATATCTAACCGCATCGGAGACGTTGTCTGGAATAGTTTTATAAAAGCATTTTCTGTTGGCAACTTTCCAAACAAAAACCAGGACGGTTTGTTCTCGGTTAAAGTCTGTTTGGATACAGTTGATTTCGAATTTATATATATATTTTTTGGCTTTGTTTAGTATTCGTTTTTTTTTTGTGTTAGTTTTCTTTAAATTGGGATTTTTTTGACTTTTATTTTATTTTTACGCATTCGTTAACGCTTAAAATATTATTGACAGTAAAATTCCAGCAAAGTCTTTTTCACCGTGTTTCTGTTGACAATATTGCAAATGCTTGTGGCCTTTCAATAGATGGCCCCTAAACATATTCTTAATTTTTTTTTCATTTGGTCATACGACTATGATTATTACGTAGAACATGTGAAACAGCTCTATGCAACACCTTCAAAGAGTCGCATCTCGAGAAACCTGCAAGCTGTATGCTCAGTGTACACAGTTACTGCAAATTTGGAGTTTTGCCAACCACTGATGAACAGCTAAACATAACAGCCATATTTCCTAAGCAAGTACCAGCTAATGGCCATCCTGTAAAAATGTCAGAGGAGTGTATAAATGCGTGCATTTGCAGCGAATGCAGCGTACTGCACACGCTCGCACCGCTGGGGGGCTCATCGTCTAAATGAGTGCCACTATTAGTTCATTGGTAAGGAGGAAAACCTTGTTCCGCTTTATACATAAGTAGGAAGTGAGAAGTGTCAAGAACATTAAGAATGGTTACAGTCACTTCAAATCGACATTTTTACCGAACGTACAGATTGTATTACGATTTTATTTTTAAAAATGTAAAAGAAAAAATATTTGCTTTTTTTTTTGGCTGTATTTCTTGCAGTTTTTGTCGTTGAATTAACACTTATAATTCGGCTAGTTGGTTGAAATAATTCACTTTTACTGCTTTTCAAGAACGATGTATTGCGCTTTTTTTTAAACCAACTAATCACGAAATCTGATACAGAAACGCTATGTGCAAGCATTTTTCAGGCACGAAACTGTCAGATTACTAAGCCATATCAAAACTTTTTTTTCGGTTACACATCCTTTTTTTTGTTTGAAACTTTTACCACTAAACACATTTTTATGGACAAACATTTGTTCATTTATTTGTTCGCTCATACATTTACTTTATTTTGGCTTTAGCTTTATTTGACTTTAGCTTTATATACATCATTCTGTAGTTTTGGTGAATCGAACCTATCAAATTTACGAAAAATAGAGGAATTTGACGGGATTTAGAGCACTTAATAATCAAGTCCTTTTTCGTTACTCTCGAACTGTTCACTCTTTTGTCCTCTTCACTCTCCCACTGAAGTTTTAATGCTAGTTCAGTTGCCATTTTTACATAAATTTTAAAATGTATTCCCCGTTTTCTTTTTAAATCTACTGCTTTTTTTCTGGGCAGGATCCAGCACTGGACAAGATACCATCGAGACTCCGCAACTGGGTTCGCGAGGCCCTCAAGACGGCTTCGGAGACCGTCACAAATGCTGTTAGTACAGAAGAGCCTATCACGGTCAGTTAATCAATTTGAGTACTGATCAGAATGTAACTTACAGAACTTCCTTTTCTGTATTCCTCTCGTATTCAGATGATTTTTCACATCTGACGTGTTCTCAACAAGCCACGTTTACTCGCTTTATTTAGAGTATGTATATGTACTTTTTTTGGTGATCGGTTCGTCCAGGATCCTCCTAAGAGTCTAATAGTCGAACCACAAATTTTGTCTCTCTCCCCATTTTACATTTATACTACATTTTTTTGAGAGGCTTATGTATTTACGCGTAATGCGCTATATCAGCTTTAACACAGTGAATTATAGACACCTGAAGAGTCAATGTCTCTTTTTGTGAAAGATATGAATGAGAAAGGTTTGACTGGTTTAGCTAGGGAGTATCATGATCTTGATCATAGTGGTCCCGTCTCGGCGGCTCACACGGCATTTACTATGAACATGATGAAAAATAGGTATTCTGGTGAGTTTTTTTGACAAAAATTCAATTGTATCTTGTTGCAGAATATAACTATCAGTTCAGCTTAGTGATTGAAAACAGGGTTTTCGCTAACTGCCTGTGCGTAGAATTTGAAACAATTTGTTACTCGCTTTTTTTTCAAAAGAAGCTTTCGTTACAATTTTTTGTGAACTACTAATAATGGTGTTAAAATATGACTTGCTAATGCTTCTAAATCTTTTGATATAGAAACGGCGAACAATTTACTTTCATTCAAACTTTTCTACTTTGCTCTTTTCTGCAAAGGAGGTCTGTTTTTTTCTTGTTAGTGGCTATAACCATCTGTATTTTAAGATGTTTTGTGTATCGACGAGACCAGAGTACCTTTGAAACTTGGAACTCGCAGTGGTGATGATTACATTCACGCCAATTACGTTAATTTTCCTGAATTGAAGAATAAATTTATATGCACTCAGGTAGGATTTAGCCCTGAAGCTTTTGAAGATTCTGAAATTTTCTGATTTAGTAGCACTATTTTGAATAAATATTGTGAAAATATCTTGACTGTTTTAGGGGCCCTTACCGACGACTCGTAATGACTTCTGGTCTATGGTTTTTCAAGAAAGAGCAGAAACAATACTGATGCTGTGCAGGTTGTTTTATTTTTTTTGTTTTTCCTGTGAAGTGGATTTGTCTTGTCAATGCCTACATTTTCAAAGTTGATGTAGTCCAACTTCCTCCCCTCTTGTTTTTTACTTTCTTGATGATATTAGTTTTTTTTACTGGTATCGCCTTCGTTTGGCAGTTTAAAAACTTAGTTCTTTTGTTAAGTTATTGCTCTAATTAATTTCAAAAGTTTCTTTTGATTTATAGAGGAGGTTCATATACATCGTTTTGCATTTGCTTGAGAATTATACAATTTTTTTTTTCAAAGCCACTGAAGTGGTTTATAATTTAGGCCTAATGAGGAAGGGAAGTTGAAGTGCGCTGTTTACTGGCCTGATAGCGGTGAGAAGTTGGAGCTGGATACTGTAACTGTAGAAAATATTGGTGAAGAAGAAACGGACTTCAACACAGTTTTATTCAGAGTGTCTCTTAATGATAGCGCCAAAGCTAACTGTACTATAAATACCGAACCTTTGGTGGTCAAGCAGCATAGATGGGACAAGTACTTCTTTAATTTCTAATTCCAGTTTTTTCCTGCTTTGTATTTGATTTAGTTCTTTGGGGCTTTTTGGTATTTTCTTTGTTCGTTTAGGTGGCCAGATAGGGGTATACCGAGCCACGAAATTGCCATGGTACCTTTAAAACTGCTGTCTTACGTGAGGAATACACAAGCGCCCTGCATTGTTCATTGTTCCGCTGGGATCGGAAGAACTGGTACTGTTATTGCTATTGAAATGGGTATTCAACGGTTTAGCGAAGGGAGAAAAGTGGACTTGTGTAAGGTAATTGGTTTCTCACTATTTTTTCCTGTTTTTTCAACTTTGGTGAAAACTTCATTGAAATTTGACGATAGAGGCCCAATATCTCCTCGAAGGTGAAGTTTTACAAGTCCTGTGTTAATCTTCTTATTTCAAATTCAGAGGGATGATGTTTCTTACGTCTCAAGACAGTTTTGTTTTCTGTATTTTAAGATTGTCAAAGACCTAAGGAAACAAAGAGCTCAATGTATACAAACTGAAGTTCAGTATCTTTATTTTGGACGTGTGTTAGTTGAATATGCAGTGTCGCAAAATTTATTGAAAGACGATGCTAAGTCCGCTGCTGATAATTTCCTTAAAGAATATGATTCACAAAGAAAAGAGCAAATGATATTGTGTTAACTTCCTTGTTTTCTCTAATCTTTTGTTACTGAATGGTTATATCGCTTTAATGTTTTTAGCAGTTTTCATGGACCATATAGTAGTTTTCTTAGTCAGGTTTGTCCGTTTCATGGTAAAAACTAGATATTTTGAAGTCCTTGCTCCAGTTTCAAAGGAGCCAGGCAGCGTTTTTTTTTATAACATCCTCCCGTTGAAAAGTATTGGTGATCTTTAACTTAAGGATGAACCTTGTGCTTGGTGACGTGTACTATGTTGTTAAATATACTTTGTATAAATGTATGCAAGGATAATTTATTTTATTTTACTTTTTTTTGCTGTAACCCGTGTTGTTATTGCTGTAGCTCAATAATGTACACTGTTTGCTATGTTGTTAATTTTTTAGTTCAGTAGCTTTGATCAGGTTTTAGAATTATCTTTGGCTTCTAACCTTTCTTGTAGGCAATACGAAATTTTTCTGACCGTGCTTTCTACGACTCTTTGCTTCTCGTCTCTTCTTTTTTACTAGGATCCTGTTGCTGCAATGCAGTGATATAGTTTACGTTGTATGACGGTTTTATTTCATTTAAGAGAAGAAAGAATTGAAAGCAGAAGTAAAGTGTATGAGATCGGTTTCTTCTAAAAACGTAACAACTAATAAACGATAATACGTGGTTGTGTGCAACAATAAATAAAAATTACTGTGAAGAGGGGCTGGCGTAACTCAATTTAATGCTCAGTGTCGCCTCTCCGGTGATGTATTCACAGCATGACTATTTAAGAAACAGATTGTTTACTGGCCAAGACTTTAATATCTCTTATTATTACTGTTATTTTTTACTATTGGGGGTGTTGGTAATGCACACTGTTTGTTGTTTGATGGGCGTACCGACAAATTTTTTTGAAAATATTGGAGGTGGGAGGAAGAGGTAAAACGCAGGCTAAGTTAGCGCTTAAAAAACTGGTGACAGAGGAATGAATAGTTGTCACAATCACATTGATAATTAACAGAAACATAAAAGCTAGCAACTACTGGAAACAAAGCCAGAGCTCAGCAATAAGCAATACAAATAAACTAATTATCGTTTGTAAGACATTTTAACAAATCAAAATACA